TAATCTGCCCATGGTATTCTCAGTATTCTCGTCTGTCACTTCAAGTCTATTTCTTCATCTCTAACAAAATTGACTAGCATCCAATATCATATAGGAGATAAGACATTACATAATTTCTAAGGATGTACATCTATCTATATATAAAATTCTGTGACTTCTGTTAGTCTGTCCATTACATCCTTTAAAATAGCGATATATTGACTGATTGAAATCAAATTTTTGGGAGAAGTACAAACAAGTAAGGGGGATACAAAATACAGTTAATTTTACTAGGGTGCATAGCTTAGAACAATAATGTTTTTGGAAAAATTAAAAGTTTTATTATTTAACATACAAAATACTTCAACTATTTTAAAATCAATTTAATGATTAAAATAACAAATACTTATTTAATAAAAATACAATATTGTTTTTTGCATATCTTTTCATTTTTATAATTCATTGATTGGTTTGCAAAATTGAATGAAACATAGAGTTTGTAAAACTCAACAAAAATGTTAGTGATAGCTTGAACAATACTAAATACTGTGAGGATTTTAACATACGTCAGAGTGTTGCAAAAAACATTCTAGATGTATAAATCTCTGGTGATTTTTATTATCTTGATGTTACATGTATGGAAGATAAATACTTACTGTGAACACATGCTTTAAGGAGATATTTATATAATTTAGATATTGAGAATATTTTCTATGACTAATCACAGTTGGCTTGAGGTATGAAACTCTTATTGTTGTCCATTTAGGTAGATCCATGATAGGTTTTGTCTGAAGAATGAATGTGTGTCTTGGTGCTGAATGTTACCTGTGTCCTGCTTTACTTATACAGTTCTACATAGCATATGCTGATGTTTATTTTCATGCATATAGTGTCAGATCCATTTTTTTATGCACATACATTTAGGATTACTTTTAGTTTTTGATGGAATTGCTATGTGTGTTAGGATGCAGATATCTTTCTAGCTGAATGTATTTGCTAATTATTAAATATAATCAAAATTCCAGTGCCTTGGTTGAAGAAACTCTTTTGAAGCTGAATATTTATATTTTAATCATGAAGATTTCAATGATTTGGTGTCTTTAAAATGCTAAATAATGAAATACAAATTTAACAGCAGCAAACTATCCAAAATTGTCAGCTCTCAGTCATGAAAATGGCTGGTTGAATTAAAGAAAGCACTTAATCTTACAATGATAAATGATTTTGACATTTGCTACCTTTGAAAGTAAGTGAAAAATTATTTAAAAAAATTCTTGTCAATCGCTTTTATCTAAACTTGTATCAAAGAAAAATTCCTGCTTAAGTACATGTTAAACACCATTTATATACTTACATAAGTACATCAATAAGTATGTAGCCTACTGATTCAAGTATTTATTTTAATTTTACATGACAAATATTGAATTTTCAACATAATCTTTTTCATTGTTAATGCACTGAGCCCATTGCATCTTTATTGGGATTGAATAGTATACAGTGAAAAATTCAGATAAAGATTTTGATAACAACTGTTAGGCTGTGGCCTTATTGATATACTCCCCAGACACTCATTGAATTTTTGGACCTAGGAATGGATTTTAATATTCATATATACAGGATGGCAATAATGTCATAATACAGTTACGTATAATAAAAAAGCAAAGCAGTGAAGCAGGTGGCTTGCAGTTTGAACTTTAATTAATTTACTATTGTTTACCCTAGCATTTTATTGTTATTAAGCAGAATTAACCAGAACCATTTTAATAATAAATTTCTGGACTGTTGATTAATTTCTTTGTCTTAATTGTTATTGTAACTATACAGTGACTTTGTTACCAGCCTATTTATACCATTTATTGCATATACATTCTCTATCATAAATGTTTGTATTGTTTGCATGCTTTTGTGAATTTGCCTTTTATTTAACATATATGTATATTCATTTGACTGTATTGTATGTTTTTCATGTATTCATGCTTATATAGTTGTAGTTATTTTGTATCTGTACCTAGTATGTGCGTACATATGTTTGTGCAAGATTTGTGTGTACAATGTTTTGAATGATTTTTTTTTCTGAGGTTTATATGCATACGGTATTGTAGTGATCAAATGTATTTATGATGTGGTCTTTGTGTCATCTCCCCTCTTATTTCTGAGTTGAAGATACACAGAATGATTTGATGACAAAGGTGATAAATGGAGTGGCAATCTCTGTTTCCACTCATAACATTGGAAATGCAATTGAATCTGATGGGCAGGGAAGCCACATAGATATGGGCATGGGGATCAGCGTCAATGCTTTATAAACTAATTTGGTATCAAGTGCCAACAGTTCTGCTGCACTCACCACTTTTCTTCCTACCATTTCCACCCCTACACCTTGTTGATGGATTAATGCTTTATCATCTCTTGGAAATGTTGTGCCAGAAGCAAAAGGAAGCACTTTGAAGATCTGTGGTGATTTATTTGTTTTCTTTATTACTTGATTAGCTCCTATCAGAACAAATATGATATACATCATGTTGTCATCACTTGACTGCCAGTTACTGTGTAGCAACATTTCTTTTCTCTCCCTCTGTCTCAACTCAGAAATTGCCTGACAATGGCTTGGAGAGCCAATTTTAAGTGCCTGTTGGTTAGTATCACTCTTGTAAGTCTTTGGCATTTTCTTTCCTGCTTCACTTGCCACCCTTAGTTGAACTTTGCTGGCCTCTTTCACTTCTTGCCTTTGGAGCTATGTGTACTTTGCAGTGTTTGGTCATTTCTTTTAGTTTAACTTGTCATCTTATTGAAGATTAACCTCTGTTTATGGATTTCTATGTTTGAGTCATTGATTTATTTTTATCTGGAGATGCAAGAAGGAACCAACTGAAAGAGGCTTGTATCAAATGCTCACACACACGAACACACACACACATATATATACAAGTTTTAAGAATATTAAATCACTTATTTGAATTATCAGGGATTCAACTGATAAAATGCATATTAAATAGTATATATTTATAATTACATATTACTTTGACAATGTTGCAAACTCTTAATTCTTTGCAGAGGAAACAATGATACATGTATACAGGCACACAATCTACCTATTTATGATTGCTTCTGAGATTTTAAGTAGTAAAAATATATTATTTTCTTTACTTTTCAAGATATTGTTCACAAATGCTTGAAGGTATTGTAAAAGTAGATAATTTCTAAAATAGATGCTTTTACTTTAAGTTTAAAATCATTCTTTACAAACTCACAAAAATAATTCTTTCTTTTTTTTTTTTTATTTATTTGAGGTTTTGAGCTGCAGTATTAAGATCCTGTTTTATCTACTTTCTCTGTCTTAATTCAGTATCTAAATTGTTATTACTTTGGTGTTTTTTTATAATTTTAAATTGTAACTTCTTAATATTTGGTTTCTTTTCTATAACCTTTTATAAACTTTGGTTTCCAAAGAGATGATTTTAAGAACTTTTCTAAAAGCAGTTGGATAAATTGGCATTTTTCTATTTAAATTGCTATTATGTTCCTAGTTGTAGTAATAGGAGGTAAAACAGGCTAAGTATCTCCATAATTGAAACCTTTTTCAGAATTTAGAACTTTTGCATTTAGATATAGGGAACTTATAATATTTATAAATTTGAAAACATTTTTAGAAACAGGCAGTACAGTTCATATTCTTTATTTTTAAAAAAAGCTAGTAAATGTTATTCCTTTTTAAAAAAAAAAAGATTTCTTAAATTAACCATAAGAGGAAAGGATTTCAGATCAAAAAGAAAATTTTCCATTAAGTATTTGAATATTTTTGAGAGCAACATGTAAATGGGTTAATACTAGAAATGTAGCAATTTATATACAGATTATATATACATTATGGGCTACTATTTTTGTATATTTGTGCTTTTTACAATATGCAGTGTTTAAATACCAAATTTTGCTTGGAAATTTGATCTCATTATTTTGTGTGGTTACCATAATATTTTGGCTGATTCATTCTCCAGCCTTCTCTGGGTGGATAATTTGTAAGTAAATACAGGATCTCTCTCTCTTTTTCTCATTGTATTTCACATTATGATACAACCATTGAAGTTGGTATCTTTTCCATTTATTGATGATGGCTATCAGGTAAACTTCAAAAAAATATTGAAGGATTCTGGGTAATTTTAAAAATTACTTGTATGTGCTAATGCTAAAAAGTCACATCCAGAGTGACAGTCAATAAACACATTACTTTCTTTTATCTGCAGAACTTACTGTTTTATGTAATTGTAGGTCATTTTCATTGTGCTTTACTAAGAAACCAACACAACAAAACTTCCTTGTATGCTTTATTCATAAATTAGTGAAAAATCTATACAATTTTTTATTTTCAGCAGAATCATTGACTTTTCTTAAAATATTCATATAGCCATATAGAAATGTTTTTTCTTCATTATTTAAATCTAATGAAATAATGATTACAAAGAAAATCTCTCTGAAAATGTTAATAAACAACTTGACAATTTGTATCACTCTTATCATTAACATAGCATTTTAAAAGAATTGGTTTTGCAATTCCTCTTTGAGAAATGCTAAAACATTTTCAATCAGTATTTTAAACTTTTTGCATTTTTATTTGACAGAAGTTAATGTTTACTCAATTTTCATATCCATACCAACAACTATTATAATTATTATTTTAGTTAAAAGACAAAGTTTTAAAATATTTGGTGGCTTTTATATCACATTAGCAAAAACAAGAAAAAAAAAGCACATCTCTACATGTTGGCATCAGTGCACATTTGACATAATGTTCTTTCTGTTGTACTGAATGTGTTTTATTTTTTAAAACTTACTGGCAGTCATTGTATAGGTTGCTGCTCACGAAAAATCTTTTCTTTCTTTATTCTCAATAAATATATTACCATTTTTTGATATATATTTCTGTATTTTTCACTAACTGATTTCATATCTTAAAACAAATGGCTCCCATGAAATTTTCAGTCCATCACAAGTTTAAGTTAGATATTTTTATCTACTTTTTCCAGACAAGTTCTGCTTGAAATGGTGTCCAGAATATCAGATGGCATTGTTGAGTGCTATGAACAACTCCTGCAGAAAAGTCAATTGAAATCATCCCCTCCTGAGCCAGGCTGTATTCACCTGACCCAGCAGAGAGCACTGCAGCACTTGTTTGACATCAAATTCATCACATCTGTCATCCCAGCCCAGGATATGGATGATGAGGTAATACATTCACATCTATTCACCCCAGCCATCTTATCATTTTGTAAACATGGCATGTTTATTCTAAGAGTGGAATCTGTTGAGAAAATTCTTTATTTTTTTTTTCACAACTTGTCTTGGGGGTGAAGTAGAATGTAGAATGTCTTTTACTTGTTGACCTGTCATACTGCACTGATAGAATTCAATTAAGAATGTAGAGACTCCTTCAATGTAATTTTCCATTATTCAAATTTTTAGAATGAAGCTGTTTAACATGAACATTCATATGTAAACAGTAATATTCATGAGTTTTCTGCATTACTGAAGTATATGAAATATTTTGTGTTCTATTACAAAAATGCACTATGAAATTCATAAAAGTATGTTTCATGCTATTTCACTGTGAACACTTAAAGGTTTGGTGTTCAATGTTGTAAACCTGTATTATACCAGATGTTGAATTTTGTTATCTCAGGTTTCCTGTAAGCAATGTTTCCAATGTTTATTCATCAATTTTGTTTCTTCGTATTCCGATATTCTCTCTCACCTCATTACCTATGTCACATTGATAACTTTTTTCTGAAAATCAGTTTTTAAAGTTTTGCTGAAATATTTTTGGGAACAAAAAAGACATTTTAATTTCTTAATGAGGTAAAAATCAATATTTCTAAAAAAATATCTTTTTTAATTTTGTTTTGTTGAAAAAGATTATTTCACTGGGATATTTTTACTTTAATGAACAAATAGAAATATTCTTAATTCTTATAATTATATTTTTTTTGTTTTCTCCTTAAAAATAAAGAACTACATTTTATCTGTTTCATTTTATCTGAAGTTCATTTAAAGAAAATAAATGAGTAAAAACATTTTGGGATTTAAAAACTGTCAATTGGACTTGATTTTTAAATTAATACACAAAAAATTAACATCAAATCATTGAAAAGAGAAAATATAAACCACAAACCAGTACAAAGTTGACATTTTATAAAATCTTTTTGATTAGCTGTACAAAAAAAAATACCCACCTTCTGCCAAAGCAAAAAGCAATATGATGATGTTCACATTTGTAATGGAATCTGTTACTTGAAAAATGTAATGAGTTAAGTTTTAAAAATGGATACTTGTGTGATTCATCATATTTATTTATTCTGGAAAATCTATTGAGAAAAAAAAATACTTGTCCTTTTGATTCAAGATACATTTCTAAGCACTAATTCACCTTCACAAAATTAGCAAATGTACTTGGAGATTTTTTTCTAACTTTAAGCAAAAACTTGTTAGGTTAAAAATCAGTCACTTTAAATAAGAAGAATCTTCTTTTGACTCGATGACTAATTTGTCTCTATCTAATAACTTTCATTAGTTTCTCTATTTATGTACTTAATCCAATTAAATCCTTAAAGGAATCAATATCAAAAGCATAAAAATTCAGTGACTGATACAGATTGTTAATTTAGTTATTTTACTTGGTACCAAAATGTCACTTTTTTTTTTTTGAATAATTTTTAGTAGTTTAGATATCTGTTGTGAGGAAACATAAAAAGAATGTTCAGCAAAATCACAGAATAAAAACATATAGAGTGCTGAAAAATTCTCAGCCGAACCCACTTTCCCAAATCTGATTAAATGTCGGGAATTATTTTTGGAATCATTTCTTTGCCATGCTGAGAATTTTTCATTACCCTTTTTTAAATATCAAGTAGAGATTGCAAAAAAAAAAAGAAAAGATAGGCATGTTTATAACTATCACTCACTATTTTCTCAAAACCTGAAATTGTTTGTGAAAGATTCACAAAATTAAAAGAAATTTTGTTTAACCTTCCCGAGTAGATCTGGGAATGTCAGGTGGTGTAAGCTTGGATGTGTGGATGGTGCAATGGATAATGGTTTGGAATTGTTAATTGATGAGCCAAGTTCCAATTCTAGTTAGATTCATAATATTTACTTATGTACAAATACTCTTGGGAAAGGTATGTATCCAACTCTTCCCCCTAGCTTTAGGTTAATTAGTAAGACTTTTATCACTAAAAACCATTATTGTTTAAAAAAAAATGAAATAAAATTGTGTACAAAATATTTAGATTTCAGCATTAAATAACCCATAGAGGTGTTGATATGCTGCTAAACAAAAACAACCAAACAACCAAATCCTTATAAAATAATGCTGTCAAAAGATTTTATAACATTGTCTGATTTTATAGTATAAAGTTATTTAGTATCATAACTAAAATCTGTGTTGTAGGTTCTGTTATTTGGTTTTAGGTTTTTTTAATTCTACTTGAAGTTGGCTACTTAATCTAAACAATCATGGCGAATATGTGTATATGTAGTCTTTTCTGGGAGTCACCGCATAACTTATTAATTCTCTAAATGTTTTTCTTGGCATTTATGAATATTTGTACTACACAAAGTTAAACTGAGATCAAAATAAATGAGAATAAGAAAATTGTGGAGATGATCTATGTGCCTTAAAAAAGACAATCTTTGGAATCCAACAGAAAATAAGTAACTATTTCAAGCAAGTCCTTTTGAATGATTTTATTATTAGATATATTCTGCAGAAACATGGTGCCTAGTCTTTCATGTGAACTGATAGAAAAGTACTTAAAAATATTTGGTGCTATCAAGAACCACATTTGCCTTAAAACATTTTGTGAAGCTCAGTTAATATCATTGATATGTCAACTGGAATACATTGTAGAATTCCATGAAAATGAATTGGAAATTCATTTGTTTCCTTCTTTTGAAAAGGATTTCAATGTATTTATAAATTTTTTTTAAAGAAGTAATGTTTTGTAATTAACATCTTGTATATATCTTTTAATATTTAGTATTTGGATAAATGTTTAACATCAGAAGTTACCAATAAGTACAAATATTTGGATTGAAAAGAGACAACTGCATCTATCAGTTTTTCATTATTCTATTATCATATTGTAAATGTTTCAAAATTAAAAAAAAGATTTTTGTGTATTTTTGTTTGATTGTATCTTGTTATTGTTTTCTTTTTTAGAATAAGGGTGCCTATCAACAGCGCATTAAACAAATTTTTGATCAACTAGAAGAATTTGTAGATCCATTTGACTTGGATGTATTTACACCATACATGCAATCCCACCTAACAAAGTGCAGCCAAAGATGCAATGTAAGTAAAAAGCATTTCCCTTTTGAAAGATGTTAGAGTAAATATTGTCTAATAATTATAGGACAATTTTCTTTTATCTGCCCTATGAGCTCATGAGCAAGAATATATATTTTTATACTCATTGCTTTCATGCTAGGTCTGACATTATCTATGATAGTCCTGGGTATGATGATAAACTACATCCAACAGCAAGACCTCTGATTGAGAGATTGGAGATTTTGAGGAGTGTGGAACCACCTCATAATTTCTATTCTCAGGTCCACCCTGATTTGAGGTGGTAGCACCTGTTAGGATCCCAACTATAGGAAAATAGTATTTTGATTTTTGTTTGGTGTTTCACTAAGAAAGAAAAACACCAGCAATATATTTATAAAAAAAGTGACCAGTTGTAATACATTTTTATAACAAAATGACAATCAATACAACACTAAAGTATAAAAATACATTTTTATAGTAAAATTACCAGCAATGCATTTTATGATCCATGAATTATATATCTAAACATACATTTGCCCTGAAAGTATAAAATTATGTACAAAATATCTGTAGTTGAAGGCATAAAATTGCATAAAGAATATTTAGATTTCAGCATTAAATAACCCATAGAGGTGTTGATATGCCACTAAACAAAAATGACAACCAACATTATCTATTTAGATATTAGTGGATCTGAAAAATATATCCTTGTGCATGAAAATGCAAGGCACTTACAATTCTTACTGTCTACTTCTTTGGGTTTTTTTTATAAAAGATTCTGTTTGTCAGTAAAAACAGATAAATGGTCATGTTATACCAGAACATTCTATTCTGTGCATAAGCACACTGCCATACCATCAGAAAATGAAATTTTAAAATCTTTTCAATTCTAAAGATGTTTTTTAAAAGTATATTTACAGTCTATGAACATTTAATAAGGTGAATGCTGTTATTTCTGTGTAAACTTTATGGGTAATTGGCTGCATGTTAAAATTTAAAACATTTTCCTTCAGTAATAATAATTTCCAGTAATAATGTGCAACTTCTTTCAGATTTAACTGACACGTTTGGATGAGTGTACAGTCTAAACAATTATTGTTCAGTGCCCATTGTTCATTTTATGAGAAAAGAATCTGCAAACAATAACATTCAACAAATTTGACTTGGTGGGAAATAATCTAAATGGAATTCTTTTCTTTCAGGTTTTGTTTGGTAGCATGACATCAGTATCTAAACAGAACATTATCTTTGGTAACCGGCACTACACCTCAGGAAGCCACCATCAAGAACAGCACAACATTCTGCCTCTAAGCAATTGTACCAACCGCTTTCCATTACTACCACTGAGTACCAGTTATCCAAACAGAGCAGTGGCACCCCAACCAGTGTTACAAGCACTCCCTAGGGTAAATATTGCTATTGTCATAAAACATTAACTTTAAATCAACTACTTGTTACTCAATATGCTCAGATCAACACTATAGTCAAGTTCTTTTTTCCTATTTGTAGATAATTCATTTGTTCAGATATATTTTTAAATTTTATTAACTGTTAAAATTTTCCCAGCGTTTTTTATATAGCATGGTTGCCATAGAAATTAATTATCCTTAAATATTTTTCAGTTATGTTTTCGATAATGCTCATGTAGAATGAGTGAAATGTCATTAAAAAATAAAAATTTTCAACATCCAACTAGTTTTCATGTAGTCCATCTAATGTACTTTGTTTGGATATTTCATATCATTTATTTATCGTAATGATAAAAGTAAATATTTTCTACACTTCTAGTTTTGAATTTTGATAGATGTTGTTTTTATCAATGAAAAGTTATATTAAACAAAAATAAAAGGTTATAATATTTGTGCAGACCCATCAAGAACACTAAAACATGCTGACAACTATTTTTAACAAAAAGAAACACTGCTGTCAGTTTACAATGATCCATTTCATTCTTTAATCTGAACCCACTTGTTTAAAATTTGTTTGGTTTACATTAAGATAGAATATCAGTGTCTTTGTAGTTCTTTCTTAAAGAATATCCAAAGTCTGGTGAATAGAGAATGCAGCAGAATCAGACCAGAAGTAGTATTTATGCCTAGAATATTATCAGAAAGAGCAATACAAATGCAAAATGATGCATATGTATGTTTTACAGATTATGCAAAAGTGTTTAATAAAGTGTGTCACAAGGAACTGCTCGAACTTCTAGGTAACCTTGACATATTTGGGAAGGATATTTGAATAATCCAGAACCTATACTGGCAGCAAACCACCCGTATATAAATAGAAAATGAATTCAGTAAATATACAAAATAGAAAGGGGTGTAAGAGAAGTATGTGTCTTCTCACCAGACCTATTCGACTTATACAGTGAGGTGATTCTGAAAGAATTAGGATTCATTATTGTGACCAGAATCTTAACAATATAAGATGGCATAATATTGATAGCAGACAAAAATGAAACTACTATAGAAGTTAATGAAGGAAAGTGAAAGGAAAGGAATAAATATCAATTCTAAGAAAACAGAAAATATGGTTATTAGCAAAAGGAACAGGTCAACATGCAAATTCCAAATTGGAGATAGCAAAATCAAGCAAGTACAAAAATGTTAATATTTAGGAAGTGTTTTAACAAAGGTTGGAAAGTGTAACACCAAAACCTGAAGGTGTATTGGTATAGCAAAATATGCCTTCCAAAAGTTAAGTAAAGTATTCAGAAACAGAAAAATTTAGTTAGAAAAAAAAGAGAAAGACTACTGAACTGTTATGTAATATCAGTCCTCCTATATGGCAGTGAATGCTGAACAATCTCCTCATAGAGGAAGAAGAGACTTGAAGCAACAGGAATGTGGTTCTATAAAAGGATGTATGAGAATACCATGGACTGAACATGTGAACAATGACAAAATTTGGGAGAAAATGGAAACAAAAAGAACACTTATACATAATATCAGAAAGAGTTGAACTTTCTTGGGCATATAATGAGGAAAAAGAGCTTGAAAAATTTGATACTCACAGGACATTGAAGGCAAGAGGGACAGAGGAAAATAGTGTATAACCTGTTTAATGAGCTTATGTAAATGGGTGGCAAAACAAGGTTTAGAAGAAATAACAAAAAGACAAAATTTACTAAGAGTTACAAAAGAGAGAAAATAGTGAAGAACCATGATCACCAATATCCTGAAGGAACACAGCACATAGAAGAAGAACTATTAGATTGTTTGTTGCAAAGAAAATTCTATATCATTACACTTTATAGTACTGAATCAAATGAGAACTGTTGATTAAATATTGTAAAAAAACTAGATTTCATCAAAAAGAAGATGAAAGGGATTGTGGAAAATATTTGTATAAGAAGGTTCTGAAAGTTTTAGGGTCTGTATACTTCCTAAAATCTGACCAACGGATCAATTAGAAATCTTTGGAACTGCTTCTTGACTGGGCAAAGAACTTTTCAGCATCCTCTTATAAGTAATCAATATTTTATTACTATTCAAAGAAATCAAATTAATGTTGCATATTCATCTCATTCTCAGGAAAATATTCTTAGACATTTCCCAGAAACACAAAAGTTTTTAAATAAGTCTAATTTTTATTACATAGTAATTAGAGACCTGCTATTTTTATTAATTTTTACGGCAAGACCAGAATTGTGAAATGAATAGATTTGTTATTTTCTGTTTATGCCAATTTTCTTGTTTTCATTTTGTCAGAAAAAAAATTTATTGAAATTTTTTTTATGTAATCAGGACAAATAGTTCAATAAACAGACAATCTGGTCATTATTATAACTGTGACAATTATGAAAATATTCTTTTGTTGGCTGTGTTGCATTCTTTTCAGCAGTAAACATAAGATCTTTTGCTGCAGTTGATATAAAACTGAAGAAACATGGACAGTCTGCATTTCCAAGAGAGAGAAGCAGGCTTTTTCTTCTTGGAAGCATTATTATGATTAATCCTTTAACCGATATTGGCTGGAATCTTACTTTTTATCATAATTATTTAAATTGTAAACAAAGGATAATACAAAATATTGTCCTACTCTTTATTCATCAGCATTTTTATTTATTAAAAAACAACAAAAAAAAACTTGTACTTTTTTTCTTTATCTACATTGATGATATTAATAGAATTATTTATTTAAAATCTTTTTTTCATCTTGTCTGATTTTTCTTTTTTTTTTTCAGACTGAAATTGTGTCCTCATCATTGGCAGAAGTAGCAGCAGCTGTGTTGCCCAAACCAACAGTGCACAATGTCTCTGGGGGTTCATTTTATGATAAGCTTGGCAGTGTGGGTGCAATGTGGTTCTCAAATATTGGTGGGGGTGGAAGTAACAGCAATAAGTCTTAATCATTTTTTTATTTGTTTTTGTTTTTCAACATCCATTTTCATTTAATTTCATTTGTCTTGTGTCTTTTCAGAAATTCCTTGCTGAGTCAGATTTCTTGACTCTTGGTATAAATTGTTGTTAATATGCTCCTTTGAAATTTATCTTGTTAGTATTTTCAAGATCATTCATCTCATGATGGCATATTGTTACAGGTTTTGGATGACATTAGGCTTTTCCAATGTTGTAGAAAACAAATATCAATTATCCATTCATAAATAATGTCTTTATATAATTGATACAAAATATTTAAATTATTCAAGTTGGCCAATGTAAAAAAAATAATTATCTTGAATTGTATTTTCAAGCATCCTTACATTCTTTTTACTGTTGTAGAAAAATAGCAACCAAAACTAACAGAAAAAAATTTCTTTATTTCATTTGTCCGTCAAGTTGAGAATATGGCTGACTGCTTTGTAAATGACATAGACATGATTAAATCTTATGCTCATCATTTGTTCTGGTGGCTGTTTGGTCGGTTACCATAAAACTAGATTGTAGCACTTTTGATGTCACTATCTTTCATTAATTTTCAGTCTTATTTACTTATTAAATCATCCAGAAAATGTTTCTTTCTGCCTTATTGTATTTCTAAATGAATGATCTTGAATTTTGGCTTTTTTAAAAATTTTTTTTGATTTCATATACATAGTTTTCATGTGAGAAAGATTTTCATTCTTTAAATGAAGATTAATCATTTCATTGGGTTTAGTTTTTCTTGCTAAACTGTATAGTATTATTTACTGATTATAGTGACATGTTTCATATAATGTCTAGGAGAGAATTGTAATAAAGACCAAGTAAAGATATAAATATGAAATAATTTTTATAATGAGACCAAAATGTGTCAGTTTATATCTTTTGGTTAAGTGTAATATAAATCATTTGACTTGTGGTAAATACAGTTTTTTCCCAATTACTTTTGATGTAATTGATTTTTTTTCTGTAATATTTAGTAGAATATTGTTGCTTCATGAAAGAAAGAGCATCTTTGAAAAGTACACAGTTGGAATAGTGGTTTAACAGTATATCATATGGAATGAATTAAAATAATATAGAAAGTTTCATAAAGTAACACTAATGAAAGCATTGGTTTAAAGCTACTTTTTTAGTTTTTGTTGGTGATTCATATAATGCCACATACGCCTGAAAAAAAATTTCATGCAATCACTGCAAGAGAAAATATTGAAAAAGTGGAGTAGAAAAAAAAAAACTTCTGAAAAAGGAATGAAAGTAAAGCTAACATTGAAGATCATGAATAAACATTTAATCAAAATGATTACAGGCTTGATATTTCTAGGTTGACAAATGTCTGGTTTATATTAATGAATTTATTGTAATTAATAGTCAAATTCTTACTGTTTTTCTTATACCATTTTTGATGCTGATGTTAATCATCATTTTTGAATAATAATGGATAAAAACCTCATGAAATAGTCAAAATGACAAAGATGATGATAACTATTTTTTTCACAGCTTTGGTTCAGTAACAATCATAAACTTGAAAGTACATTATTTCTTAATACTTCTGATGTATATTATATATGTAATGAATAACATTATGTAAAGAATTGCTGAATAATCATGAAAGCATTTTAACCTCAGACTGAAAACTCAATAATCTTAGTAGTTATTTTTGTTTCATTATTTTCTTTTATCCTAATTTCAACATTGGCAATGAAATTTGTGTGATATCTTGTAATATAGAAAAGCCAAGAGTCTTATGAGCTGCAAACTTACATTATTTCTAAATAAAACAATATTAACCATAACACTAACAACTGTGAAAGACAAATTATGGCTGTCCACATGGAATGTATTGTTTTATTTAAAGACAAAAATCATTTTCATTCTGAGTATTTGAGGACAATGATGATCTTTGACATTTTCATGTCAAAATAGTTTTAAATTTGAATAACAAATTTTGTTTTGTTTATTATTTTTCTATGCTGATGTTTACTTGAAACTATTTTGTGGCAAGAAATTCAGTTACAATATTTAAATATCTATGTTTTTTTATATTTATGAACAAAAGTTTATCAAAATAATGGGATAACCATTCTGTAAGTCTAAAATTACTCATGGCTTTGACAGTATTATTTCTTTTTCATAATTTTAACTGCTAATTTTTCTCAAAATAATGTGGAATTCTTTAAGTCATATTCTGTTATTTCAGTTCTTATTCAATCCTTATTCATCTGGTAAATATTTGTGTTTATTTTGTTTGGAAAGAGTTAAAGTAGAAGTCCTTTCTGTGCAAACTGTGAAGAAATATAAATATGAAGTTTAGGTGTATAATGAGAGGCTACTTTTCATTAAGCTGTCACACAAAAAGGTCATGTTAATGGTAATATTAACTGTTATCTTATAAGGAAACATTTGGCATCAATTGAGCAAGTAGCCTGTGCTTCTGTTGATTGAAATCTTTCTCTTAAAACAATTTTTTGGGAAAATAGGTTTCTCAAGTTATCACTCTTTCCAGTGTTGATTGGGATTTCCTTCCTAACCTTTTGTTTAAAGTATCATGGAATGTCAACATTTTGATTATGTCCTTATTTTCTTCTTCAAATTAAATGTGCTATCCATTTTTGTTGTTGCTGCTGCTGAAAGTCCTCAAGTAATGTTTTTATTATTTGATACAGTTCTTTCTTTCTGTGATTCTGCAATACCAATTCACAAGATTAAAAAAAGAGATGATCCTCCCTGAGACTTACATGCTTCACTGGCTCAAGGTCAATTTTAATCAGTCACCTGAGAAAATAGTTGTATATAGCTGACAGATATTTCTGAATGAGTTTGGTGCTATGCATAGCATCCATTTGAAAGTCTCAATCTTACTTAAGTCTTTAGGTTAATGTTTTGGTTTTGTAGTAACTTGCAGTGTTGTGTGAAACTACTCCTATGTTCAATTTCCATATCTCCTGTACTAACTTCAAAAGCTTTCAGTTATCATAGATAATCTGAATGCTCTGTAATTATACTTTTTAATAAGCTCAGGATTAACTTTTTTACTAACAATATGATTCATATTCAGATTTAATGGAAATATTATTTATTTGGGACCATGATTTTTATTTCAACTATTTCATCCTGAAGAGAAACCTTGACCAATCTTTACACATAACCCAATTTACTTCTGTTCTGAATTTTAATGATAAACAACTAAAAATAGTTAATAATGTAAATTTATTACAGCATAATGAACAGAAAATGATAATTAAAAGAAATCTGCTTGAATTAGTCGCATTTTTAAATGTAATTTTTCGTCTTTTTTTCATAATTAAAAAAGGTAAATTGCATATTTTGAGCAACAGATGCAAAGAAACTCTTTCTTTCATAATCAGTTGAATTTCTTTGTTTCTTCCTAATTGATTTCTTATTTGTTTTAAGCATTGAATTGATTCATTTTATCACCTAAGGCATCTTCTCATCTGCTTACCAATCCTTAAACTCTTAGGCTCACTGAAATATTTTATATTGCAGGCAAGAGAAAGTGTGTGGGGAATGTTATTTTTTTGCTACTTTGAAAATTAATCTGAATTTGATTTAACAAAGAAAAAAAAAACAGAAATAAAAATTTGCTGATATTAATTGCGATATCCCTGGTATTATTGGATCATTGTTCTGTAATAAAACTGGATTATTATTGGTTATTTAAGTAAAAAAATAAAAAATAAACAAAGAAAGAATAATTGTAATTATAGTTGTAAAAGGAAAAAAAAATCTGTAGCTGTTAAGAGGAAACTCTATCATCTTTGTCTGGGGAAAAAAATCCCAGGACAAACAATTATTATGCAGGCATTGGGAAAATTCTTCATTATTTTATTGTTTGTAAATAATTTTGTCAGTATTTTGAAATTCTTGGTTTGGTCTGTCTAATCAGCCTTACCTAATATCTTGCTGTATATAAATGTGAATAAGTGAATAAAATCTTGTTATAAATGGTTGTAGAATTTGTTGTCTGTTCGATTTTAACCAAGTGACTTAATTAAGCAAGAAAACAATTTTTTGATTACTTCCTTCCAAACACACACACACACACACACACACACCAAAATATGTTTCTTGTTTTATTTTGACTATTAGCTTTCTTTATAAATCTTTTTCTATTCTATTTCTTTAAACACATTGTATTGTAGTTTATTTCTTAATTTTGATGATTATTTCTGTTCAGGTTTTGTTTTTGTTCCTCCTTGTCTGTTCTGAAAGATTTTAGTTGCAGCAAAATGTCTTCCACTTTTTTATTGAAAGAAATGAAATCAACTTTTGTTTTACTACAAAACCATTTCCTCTCACTTGAATGAATTTGTTATACAATCCCCCAAATTTGTTCTTTTTAATTTGAAAATAATGAGCCACATTTGCATTCAATAATACAGCAATTGTTTAGAATATTTGTGTTGATTTTCTCATTACTGTATGTCAGCCAATCTCCTCCTACAACTTTCTTCATCTATACATAAAAGTGAGGTTTCTTTTCTATAGAAACAATTGTAGGCAGAAAAGAAATGGTAGCTGATATGCCAACTGACTCAGCTCATTTATAGCAATAAAAGCCAGGCAGATGATATCATAATGTACATAAGATATGTGATCCCATATTTATTAAAGGAATGCTCTACAATTATCTCTCTGCTGAGCAAAGATATTCACATTGGCCAGAATTATACATTTGTCCAGCAGATTAATCTATTTCTTTAATTTTCTTATTCTTCAGCAATATTTCTTATCTATTATTTGGATCTCAGCCCAGAGAGGGGAAGGAGTCATTCACCCCCACCTCTCTCTCCCTCTACAGATATAGTGTGCCATTCTTGACTTCTCTGCCTCATGTTGGAATAATAATGACTTTCCTCAAAATTATAGACAGTGTCTATGCAAGAATTAATTTGCTAAATTCAAGGATCTACAATCTAGGTTAAGTGTGAATTTAAATCAAGACCTGTCAGCAATTGATACCATA